CTCTCTCTCTCTCTCTCTCTCTCTCTCTCTCTCTCTCTCTCTCTCTCTCTCTCTCTCTCTCTCTCTCTCTCCCCCTCTCTCCCAATACATTTTTCACAATATTTGTTTGAATCCCACAAAACTTAATGCAGAATCAAGATTATAAATTAACCTTTAAAATATTTTAATAACTTCTAATTCAAGTTGGACCTCAACGTTACGTGCTCGGCCTGAATGTGGCAATTAAAGAGAGAGAACAGTTTTTTCTGCTCGTGTTAGCATGTTGAATTGACATAAGAAAAAATCATCTTCACTGATGGCCATCCTAATTGCAAGTCAACAGGTAATTCACCGCGCCGCCAGCGCTGTCAGGAATCTTCGAAGTTTTTGACTCGGTGTGTTTCTGCTGTGAAGAAGTCCAGACACTTTACTCTTGTTAACAAGGTGATTTATGTTCCTCTGCAGCAGCCAAACATATCAGGTTGCATAATTTGTATTCAGGCTGTTATTAATGGCTGACTTACGCTCACTTGTGCAGTCGGGTCACGGCAGCATCCGAAAAGAAAAGTTTAATCACAGCAAACACTGATTCTGAGAAATGACACAGACGCATATTGGATGTGTTCAGTCAAATATAATATAAGCTTTCAGTTTCTCAAGTCACGACCGATCAGAGTGATCTGGTCTGGGTGTCATGGGTTTACGTGGCATTTAAATATGATTCGTATCCTGATTGTATCTACGTTTGATTTTAACCATGGACTCAAACACAACACGACACAAGAAACACCATATTGCTTTGTAACTAAAGCAGTAAGTTAAAATAAAAAACCAGTTATTGCAGTGTCTAGCGTACAGCAGTGTCCAATCATAACTATTTTTGTTTTGTAACAACCAGCAAAAACAATGTTTTAGAAAACTCTGAGTGTGTCGGATCAGAAAACAGTCAAATTCAGAGACAGAAGATTGAAGTTAAATGAAAGTGAAGAGGGACGGAGAGTGATGGTGGACTGAGCATCAGAGGAGGTGAAAGGTAAAAGGAGTGGGATGGAGTGAGGGGTCATTTGAAATCCAGACTGACGTGGGTGTAATTTTGTCCAAAATTGGGGAACGTTAATCCCGGTGACTTCGGCAGATGGTCACCAGTTAAGAGCCTGTTAGAGAATAGAGGAGCAAGGCTAGTGGGGGTCAGTCCGTCAACAGCCCCCTCTCCTCCACCACATCATCTTAGTTTCCGTCCTGCTCAGTTAAACTTGTTTCAACTTTAAATCTCCTGCGTCTGAGGACGTGTGGCAGATGAAAGCGGCCTCAGTCGCACTCACACTGTTCGTACTGACACAGAGCAGAGGTTCCTCCGACAACAGGAGAAATCTTCCTGAGAAGAAAAACAGAATAGGGAATGTGAGTATTTTGAGATTGTTTTATCTGACAGCAGCCCTCTGCCTCCAAATGACATCGTGGGTTCAAGATGGCAGAGTTCATATCCAAGATATTTTGGTTCCATTTCTGGATAGTGGAAGGAAGTGAAGACGCGTCGTCCATCTTGATTTACAATCTGATTTTTCCCAGCACATGTTAAAGTTGTTGTCAACTACGTTGTAGTTTAGAGATGTGGAGACACTTTGTGTGTCACCAACTCAGAGAGTGTGTAAAACTGAACAGAAACCTGTGGACGAGCAGTAAATAAGAATGAGAGGAGGCTTCATGTCGTGTGACGTCGTGCAGCAGATCCGAGTCAGAAGGTTTCAATATAAAGTGTCTCATGTATAAGAACAATTCACTTTCAGCGGAAAAATCCAATTTAGATCCATCGTTTTTTTTCCTCATGTGGCTTCTTTGAGGATGGAGCCGGAGCTGCAGACGTCTCCGCTGGGTTTCCACAAACACTGAGAGACAGAGCGCGAGACAGAGCGTGTGAGAGAGCGGCTCATAGGGAATACATATTAGGCTACTTGTATGATTAGTGTTCTGACATTATGCTGCCCTGGCATTTAGGCCTCTTGGTTTTAAATGAAAGGGCTGTGGCGCTGTGTGAAAACTCTCCATGAATTAAACATGTCTGGAGGCTGAGCGAGGGCAGGGGTGAAGGTGATGGGCTGAGGGACTGTGGACGGGCAAGAGGCTTCACAATGTGGTTGTTGGTTTGTTCGGATGCTGAAACGTGTTTGCTTATTTTCCTTCAGTGAAACGCTCCGAGACAAAACTCTGTGGCGGTGGTGTATTATATTTATTTATTTTTTTTACTCGCGTGTATTTATTGAACTGAAGTTTGAAGTACGTAGCTCAGATATGCGGCGGGCCTGTTTCCACCTGAATTCAAAATGTTAAATATATGTAACCACACGTTTTACATGACAGAGATTCAGAGGAAAAAGGAGGCGTTTTGTTTTAGTTTCATTTCAAACAGGAGCATCGTGTTCCTGGAAACATGACAGAGTGTGTCATCGATGGGAAGCATAAAATACAAACATCAGAAACATGGGACACAGAGGACACACATGATGATGATCTATCATTTATTTACACATATTTATTGGACTGAAGCCGTTTTTATTCACGTGGCTCAGATATGCAGGAGACCTTGTTTACGTGTGCACTCGAATAAAAATGTAAAGTACATGTAAATATATGTGTATGTATACATGAGTACGAAGTGAATTCTGATGGCAATGCATACAAAGTGCAGATGTAGAAGTAAATTGCAGATTGCAGCTTTCGGGGGGGTGCGCCCTTTGCTCAGTCACAGTAAAACGTGTTTGAAAATCACGACGACTCGAGGCACCTGCGAGGATCAGGCGTCGCCGTTTCCTGTGATGTCGCATGTGGCTCACAAACGTATGTGCAGGGGAGATTATTTGTCACCGGGTGCGAGGGGCGGGGGGGTTTAGGAAGTCGTTATTCGGAGCTGCATGGGAGGCTCTGAGTTCCGCTCGCGTGGATTTATTTCCCAGCGTGTCCTTGAATGCTCTGCAGAAGTAAAGTCCTGAGGTGAAGCCTGAGCAGGAGCTTGAGCCTCGCAGCAGATTAATGTCCAACATTTTATCAGGCCTCTGTGATCGGGTCACTTTTCCCTCTCTCTCTCTTTATTTTTAAGTCGGCAGTTTTTGAGCTGCACGCTCGCACACCATCAGAAGTAATTACAATAGCTCCACAGAGCTCGCTTATGATTTCTGTCAAAGCTTTATGGTCGCTGCCTCAGCCAATCCCCCCCCGTCCGTCAATAACACAATTATCTGCTTGAAAAGCCAGGAAGCCATGTTTGTGTTAAACTGATTGTTGGTGTGCAGGTGGAGAAGTGGACTCATTCTAATAAATATAGACTGAAACGGCACCGGGCCGCAGATTCAAACAACCACAGGCCGCTCCAACTGTTGCTCTTTACAACAACTGCTTCGTCTGTGAGTCAGAAACAAAGTTTGACCTTTGCGTCAGGACCATTGAGTTACAGGCACTTTGAGTCAGTGCCTCTGCTTTGTGCTTCACCTCCACCCTTTCAACTACGTTCAGCTCTTCATGCTCAAGTGACACTTGAACTACAACTCGTGCTCCAACTTTAATTGACACTTCAGCTTCTTTAAGTGGTTCAACGTAAACTGGTGCGACCATAAAATATTCAAGATAAGACGATGGGGAAATTTGTGCTGTTACAGCAGCAAGAGCAAATAAACATGCAATACTTGCACTTAAAAATATATGAAAGATATGGAGTAAAGTCTCGTGTATTCAGTGTAGACACAGAATGTATGCAGGATATACACAGTGGAATGGATTGCACAGACAGAATGAATATTGCACGTAGTTCTACTGGAGCAGAGTTGGTTGTTCAGTCTTTCTGCTGCAGGACGGAACGACCTGCGATACAAACCCTCTAGGAATAAATAACAGTTTCCACCTCTCAACAAACAAACAAACGCTGTTAATTCATGAAAAACCCAACATTTAACTTTGTTTTCATCTTTATCTGTGTTTTCCAGAGTGCCACTCAAAGTGGAGCAGGCCAACAACGCTCGTGACGCCCTGGCGAAGGCCGTGTACAGCCGGCTGTTCGACCATGTGGTGACCAGGGTCAATCAGTGCTTCCCATTCGACTCCTCCTCCAACTTCATCGGCGTCCTGGACATCGCTGGCTTCGGTCAGTATCCATCGAAACCACTGTTACGCTCACGTTTGTCCCATGTGAAGTGTTTTGTTAAAGAAAAAAGAAAAGTCCCAGCTGCTCGAGACGACCAGAGAGTAAAAAGCTGAGAGGACGATGATTTGACAGAAACCCAGAGAGGCCAGGGATTTCTGTTCTTTGTGTTTTTTTGGCCCATGTGGGGACCGGGGTCACAGCATGAATAGTTTTGCACCTTTAATCAGGACTCACACGTGTGCTGTGTCTTGTGCCGACGAGTCACGTCAACAATCTCAGTTTCCTGCTCCAGACACTCAACACAGTGTTGGTTCTAACGGGTCGGGTCAGCTGTTCATGGGGAAGAAAACCCACAGCAGGTCCAGCAGCTGCGTTCACAGTAACATGATGTGATTGGCCGGCGCCTGCACTCCAGTATTTGTTGAACATGATTTGATTTTAATTTCTGAACAAACAACACAAGCAAGTGTTCACTCATACAACTGCTTTAACAGGATGTATGAGAATCTTCGTCTCGCAAACCAACGACGCAACAGAACCACAATGCAGTTCAGCGACGGATGTGTGAGTCCTGCATTAGATGTTTGATCTGACCTCACCTGTCTGAGGGGGACCGAACACCTGAAGGATTCTAATTGTCTTTGTGCTGCAGATACTTTGTGTTATGTAACATCACTATCAAGTCTTTAGTGATGAAAAAAGTTTCATCAAACTCTTTAAACACAAGTTCCAGTGGAATTGTTCAATGTGTGAAGAGTTCTCTGATTCATGACTTCACGTCTGATTCATGACAGCTGAGGATATTGGATTATTCCTCTTTTATTAGATCTCTTCTGAGTTTGGAGGAATAAAGTCACAGTAATATAATATTTCCTTCTCCTGTCAGAGATGAGGAACAGAAAGGAGTAGGAAGCTCCGGTGAAAATGTCTCTGACTGACTTCCGTTCTTCAAGTTCCTCGTATGAACAAATGACGTTTGAGGGTTTTTTCCGTCTGAGCTGATTTGACAGCTGAAAGTCTCAATCCTGCGCTGGCACAGAGCGTGTCGCCGCTGCATGCCGTGATTTCCTAAAATAGTGCGACCTGTCAGGTTTCCTTTGACTGTGACGCAGCATCTTTAACTGACTGTCTGTTTTCCTTCCTTCCCAGAGTACTTTGAACACAACAGCTTCGAGCAGTTCTGCATCAACTACTGTAACGAGAAACTGCAGCAGTTCTTCAACGAGCGAATCCTGAAAGAGGTGAGAGCGGAGGGGGAGAGCAGGTGGGAGGGGGGGGGTGTTAAACGTCTTGGATCCATCAAGCAGATCATATAAGGTGTTTGGAAGCAAACAGCTCGGCACCACTCAGGACTTTGATAAAAGAGCTGTTCTTGTTGTAAACACTTATTTTCCAAGAACCTGTGTCCATTTATAAATTGTGGGTTTCTCATTTTTGAATTCAAAGGGTTTATTTTGCCGAACTCAGACGCCTCAACAACATAAAACCTGAGATTTCCTCATTTAAAGGAGCGGGTTTCACCATGATTACTGTTTATGTATAAAAAGAGTCACGGACATGAGCTGTAAAGTCCAAACTTCTTTCATAACAACACTCGTCTGTGTTTTGTCTCCAAATCGGTGTCATCTTGTTTTTCGAATCAGGTCATTTTCAGAACCCAAACAACCATTAGCCACAGTCGGCATGACAACCTGTTTCAAAGCACCACAGTCTTATTTCGGAAGGTAATGATGCTCGGTTTATAATCGAGCTGAAGCTGAAGGTCTCACAAAGAACTAAAAAGCACTCACACCCGCGGCGTCAGGTGTCGGAGAGCCGGAGCCTCCACTCACGCTCTTCATTTTGTGTTCACGTGTCTGAACTTTGAGAAGTAGCGTCATTATAGAATACCTCAGAAAAGGTCAAAGCAGAGGATCCTTTGGACTGTTTGACTTTCATTTGACAGAATCGTTGGCCTTCATGTTACACGTCTCACTTCACCTTAAAACTCCTCATTTACAGACGAGGCGCCTAAACGTCTGGTAGCAACACGCAGCTGAAAGTCTTGACTTTTAGATGCTCGGTTCTGGTGAAAGGTGTAATATCAGAAATGAGCGAGCTCGAACGCCCTCCAGCAGGAAGCACGCAGTCGTCCTCGTCCTCATTAGAGGCCGTTATGACTTCTCATTAGAAATGTCTCGTTTGCATTCCAGGAGCAAGAACTGTACCAGAGGGAGGGGCTCGGCGTCAACGAGGTTCACTATGTCGACAATCAGGACTGCATAGGTAAGAGGGTTCATTTGTTCATTTCTTTAACTCACACGCTGTTCGACACGCTGTTAGGTGTCAGCTGCTGGTTTCCTCCTCCTCAACATCCTGCCTTTAAATCCTCCGGGTTGAGTTTGTTGTAGTTAGTTGAACAGGATTCTTCGCTGGAGTAGAGTAGAACTCCTCTCAGGCTTCTGTCTGAGGCCGGGAGAGTTTCTGCTGCGGCTGGTTCAACTTTGTAGAACTTGTTGTTGTAATTTTCTCTCTCAGTGGTTTTGTGTTTATAGTGTTGGAGGAGGCAGCATTAAAATTGGTTTTATGAGCCATGTGCGGCACCATGCTGTTCATTTTTTGATTTTAATATGCTGCCTGCTCGGGGTCTGATGTTTTACGGAGGCTGTCGCTCCCTGGTTTGACCCCGGGAGCCGTTTGGTGGACAGAAGTAAACAGCGATGAAGCTCCAGAGCAGGTCTGTCCTGACTCAGATCACCTCTTCATCAGCCCATAAACAGGGAGGGAGAGGGATGAGAGCTGGCTCCAGGTGAGGGAGGTTAATTATGCTTTTCCCTGATGTCCAGCTCTGAATCAGTACTAGATGCTTCACCACAGCAGGTTCAGCTGGAGGGAGGCGGCGGTCGGGCCAACGCAGACCAGAGCTGTGAGCATCGTCCCCAAACTGTAAATCACTGACGTGTTTGTGTTGTAAAACCTCAGCGGCTCTTTGTTCGCACAAAAACCAAAGGAACATTAAAATCACACGAGATGAAGCAGAAAGTCGAGTCTGGGAATTAAAACACAGATTCTACATAAAACATACAAATCTCCGGCCAGTGCTCTGACGCTCTCACTGTTTCCTCCTGGCGGCGATGTGGAGACGCTGGGTGAGAGAATCAGCTGATACGAAACGATGAGATGAAATGTTACAGTTTTGCTGAGGAGACATCACAGAGAATACATGATGTAATGACTCCAGAGAAATATCAAGCGATGTAATTATAGCCTCTTAAAAGCTTTGCTGTGCATTTTCCTAATTTCTGGCTCGTGGAATCTTTTTTTTATTAATTTCGATGGTTGATTAAAAGAGAAATTTAATATCTCTCACTCTCGGGGGAGCGGACTTCAGATTAGGGATGGGTTTTTGATAAGTGGTTGGTAAAAACCTCAGATTTTTCATTAAGCTCGGTGGGTGATGGATTCTTTATCAAAGCACGAGTTTGAGAACCGTCTTCGTTCCAAAGAGTCTGAGGTTGAACAACGAGAGGGAACGACAGACCTCACCTCAACATCAGGACGCGCTCAGTGTCGACCTCGGTTACAAAATGTTCCGTGACTCATTAAATCTAAACACAAAATCACAGAGTTGGAGTTTTGGTGAAACCCCTGAGAGAGTGAACTAAATGATGCAGCTGTAATATTCACAGATATCCGGTGTCATCCTCACTCCGCCATCACCTGTCGAGTCACAGCAGGTGAAGCAGAACCTGCAACGATCTGCGCTCCTCTTCCCCTCCGATTACACTCTCATTTAGATTTTTAATTGTCTACATGTCACCCCTCCTGGATTTAATTTGTCTCGTCAGCTCGAGGCCTCGGGGCAATCTGCAGCAGCTTCATTAGCGGCGGCGGCGGCGGCATCAGCTTGTCTCACTCATACTTCTCTCGCCCCCCCCCCCTCACAGATCTGGTGGAGGCCAAGCTGGTCGGAGTCCTGGACATCCTGGACGAAGAGAACCGATTACCTCAACCCAGCGACCAGCACTTTACCGACACCGTTCACAACAAACACAAGGACCACTTCCGCCTCACGGTGAGTCACTGAAGCTGCAACGATCACAACAGGGAGTGAAATAAATAATGACCACGAATGTAATGATTTTACAGACAGCGATGAGGTAACATGTACAGAATGATGTTTTATCAACATGGACATGCTGAACCTCGTGAGCTGAACCTCGTGAGCTGAACCTCGTTAGATTGGGCAGAAGCTAAACGGCCATTTCCACCTAAACCAAACTCGATTCAAACACAAACGTGTCCACAGAGACGGCACCGACGCCATGAAGCAGCCGTACAGTCGTGCTCCTCTGATGAACAGCTGTAATTAGATTTTAATAAGTGAAAATAAAAGTGTTCTATGAGCTCTAACGTGTCCGACACGGTTTTATTCTGAGGTGTGTTTCTCATCGTCAGGCAGCTGCAGAGTCTGAGTGAAGAATAGTGTTGAGCGTTCAGAGTGATGTGGTGTAGCTGACGGTTAAATTACTCAACACCGACTCTTAATCTTCATTTCCAGCCGACGATGATTGACAGGGCCGGGAATTAGCATGTCATTGTAAATGGAAGATATGCAAGAACTGTGCTGAGTCTCAAATGCTTTATTGTGTGTGTGTGTGTGTGTGTGTGTGTGTGTGTGTGTGTGTGTGTGTGTGTGTGTGTGTGTGTGTGTGTGTGTGTGTGTGTCCCTCAGGTACCCAGGAAATCTAAGCTGGCCGTCCACAGGAACGTGAGGGACGATGAAGGATTTATTATCAGACACTTTGCAGGAGCCGTGTGCTACGAGACGGTGTGTTCACAAACTGCCGCCTGCTCGCTCTCCTGGAGCCATCTTTGAAATTAATGTCACATGAAATTATTTACGTCTCTTTTCTTGCATCACCGGACTGTGGACTGTCCCGACCCCTGAGGAAGTGACCACTCACATTAGATTAGTTCTGAGGAATGGACCAGAAGCATCACCTGCTTGGTTTATGTCTTTTTCTTATTATACTATAATCATAGTTATTGTACTTTCTCCTGTTCCAGACAGTGATCACTGTGTTTCTGGATAAATGAGGTTTCTTTTTTTATTCAAAGTGATTCTGAAGAGCGATATTTCACCAGCTCATCTACACAAGACATTTGTGTAGGAAGTCATGTGATTAAAAAGTTTGAAGAGATTTTTACTTTTTACTCCAAAAACAAAATGGGACAATAATCTTCCTCTTCTCATTATTGTCTCATGTCCGTCCCTCGCTGAAAAACATGTTCTTCTTCTGCTCTTCAGACCAAGTTTGTGGAGAAGAACAACGACGCGCTGCACATGTCTCTGGAGTGTCTGGTCAGCGAGTCCAAGGATCGCTTCGTCCGCGAGTTGTTTGAAAACTCCAACAACAGCAAAGACATGAAGCAGAAGGCGGGAAAACTCAGCTTCATCAGCGTCGGCAACAAGTTCAAGGTGAGAGGAGACGGTGAAGTGGACAAAAGGCCAGTGACTGTCCCTCTTTAATACTTTTACTGCAGCCTCTCTCTGCGGTCCAGACGGTGAAGAGCTGCCGGAGTTAGTGTCGCAGGTGACGAGCCTCCGTCACCTCTGTGACGCACGTCGTAACAAACACCTGTCCACCCATGCGTCAGGTTTCCATCATCGCAGCCGATAGAAAAAAAGAAACGCCTGCAGATGAAAACTGATTTTCAGATGTTTGTGAGTGTTTTGTGTTTGTAGTGTGAGAGGTGCTGAGCTGTGTCAGAACCAAGCTGTCAGCGCTCACGTCTCATTAGTACGTCTCAGGGACACGAGTCTGAAAATCTAACCAACAACGAGGAACATTTCCAATTATCAGAAAACTGAAAGCTCTGTGGCCGTGACGTCGTCTCATGAGAACATGAAGTAAGAGTGTTTTCAGCAGCTTCAGAGAGAGAGCGTCTTCGCTCTGACTCACCCGGCTCGCTCTCTCACCTCGGGCTGCTCTGGTGTGTCACCTCACCAGAGGCGAGGTTGAGCCAGGAACCACGATGATGGCTCCACTCAATCATGTCTCCTGAAAAATAAAAAAAGGAACAACACAGAAGCGTAACCCGGGGGGAGCGATGGCCGGGTCTGTTGTCAGAGCCAGCGAGCAGCGGAGGAGAGGGAGAATATTTTATGGAATTCACAGGAACGTCAGAGTCTTTGAAGTACAAATATTTGATCCTTCGTGAGCACGGAGACGTGATTTATATTCCTGATACGCTGTGCGTCCTCGCTGAGGCTGTGCGGACGCTGTCCATCACGCAGCTGTTGGATCCTTTCTCTCCCGTTCGGATCAAAAGTTTGAATCCTTCGTTCAGTGATCTGAGGTCCTCTGTTCCCAAGACTTTTCTAGAGGGTATTTTATTTTGGGGAAGTTTTTAACCTTTTCTTTTTTTTGATTGAGAGAAAAGAGGGAAAGTTGGCTGCTGAATACAAACCAGGGGTCGGACCAGGGGTCGGACGAGGGGGCGGACGAGGGGTCGGACAAGGGGTCGTCATCATATCTACTACAAGTTTTCTTAATATAACTTGTAGTAGTAGTAGTAGTAGTAGTAGTAGAAGTAAAGGCAGATGTTAAATAAATGTTTTTCAAAGATCGTGCTAATAACCTTTAGCATCCGTCCTGCGTCCTATGGACAGTCTGTCCCTGTGAGCTCACGTGTCCTGTTATTGGTCCTAATTAGAATCCATCAGTTCACATTTCCATTCACACGATGCCGACGATCGTCGTCAGTAAAGAAACGTGAATAATTCATCAGCAACAAACAGGAAGGAGCAGTTCAGGGGTGAAGAGTGATGAGAGTTTACTGCTGCTGGATTATTGATGACTCATCAATAATTCAAGAGTTGGATTAATTAGAAACATGAAACACTTTGTGTCACTTTTAATTCTGCCTGTAGTTTAACATCATTTATAATATATAGAAGGTTTCTAACTCTATGACCAGAACACGTCGTCTTTCACTTATTTAGAAGAACATATATAATATATATATAAATATGTATATGTATGTAAATATATATGATCAGCACCATGAGTAAACATGGCTGCCTCGCTCCGTCTGCATTTCTTAATGTTCTGGTTTTTTGTTTTTTCTGCAGACGCAGCTGAATATTCTTCTGGAGAAGCTCCGCAGCACGGTGAGAGTTTCTTCTTCTTCTTCTCCTCCTCCTCGTACGTGGTGATGGTTTCGTGCTTCAGGCAGACGCCGCTCTCACTGTCACGTCTGTGTTTGTCTCTTCATGTGTGGATGCTTGTGTCCCGCAGGGCTCCAGCTTCATCCGCTGCATTAAACCGAACCTGAAGATGATCAGCCACCAGTTTGAAGGAGCTCAGATCCTGTCCCAGCTGCAGTGCTCCGGTCAGTAACATTTCTTCTGTGCGGTCGCTGCAGAGCGGAGACGTGTCGCTCTAGAACTCTGCTGCAGAACCTGAATAAAGAGGAACCAGGATTAATGTGTTGGCTTTTCAACAACACTGCAGCTCTCATGAAGAACGTTCAGCTGTGTGCTCACCTCCGCTCTTATCCTTGATTTCCACCCACACCGAGTTGCGTCACTTTTTTAGCTGTAATATCTGGTGCCAAAAAAATCCCTGTGTAGTCCTGCAGAATTTCGACTTCCTGTCCGATCTCATCGCTGCTTCACTCGACTCCATCCAGTTGGTTTGGTTTATTTAAGGTGGCGCCAGCTCCAGGTAGTGATCTGACAATGGAGATAAAAGTCAACCAGCACAAAGCGTGTGTGTTGTTCTCCTGACAGACGTTATATTCGGAATCATTTAGAATTTAAAAAAGAACAAAAAGCTGCAGCCACTTAATTTACTCTTTTTATGACTTTGCTGTAAATGAAATGAAAATGCAGCAAACACCATCACTGCTGTTTCTACAGGAGCTGAGGGAAGATCCCTGAATCCTCAGTCCTTAAATAAATCAATTATTTCTTAAAATGGTTTCATTTAGCGATGTTATGGCTTTATTTCATCCCAGGCCGTGTCAATTTAATCAGGGATTATTATTTACTGCTGGAAAATACTGATAGAAATAATCTGAGGCCACATCATCTCATCATATGTTCATTGTTCGGACATTAAAGTGTGATTACGTGTGAGTATTGAAAAGATCTCGAGTCCCTGCAGACGCTCAGACATGTTTGCTGCTGTCGCTCCCTCGGCTCTGGGCTGTAGAACTAGATTTCTGTTCTGTGACTTTGACCTCGATGTCCTCAACTTGTTCAATTCCCCAAAAAATAAAAGAAGTGGTACGCCCCCTCCTCGCTCAGGTTCAGAGGAGAACAAATTACGAGGTGCAGTTTAATATCCTCAGAGACTCTGATTTTTGCCTTCATCCACACAAACCCAACGATGCCCCGCTCTGATACCGCACCCCCGTCTTTTATCAGCTTTATTGGACTGGGAATCGAAGCTGTGATAGTTTGGAGGAGACGGGGGAGGCCCCGCGTGCACAGACACGATGTGGTTAGGTCCAAAGATGGGATGCTCAGCGACCAAACGGAACTTTTCCATTATGGTTTGCACTCCTGAAGACGAGATTTCGATTTAATCTGGATTCTTGAGCCGGTTCTCTTTGAGCACGGAGAGGCTCAGAGGGCTGAAGTAAAACAGTGACACTTTTAATCTGTGCGATACCTCGTACGTTTGAAGCAGGACTCAATAAAGCAGTGAGTGATTTTACAAGGAGCCAGCGGAGCGAGACTAAGACCTGGACAAATGTTCACAAACTCTGGTCCACTTGAAAATCTCCGGCAGCGAAGCTTCTGGGTTTTTTAAGGCTTAAGTCTGGTTTCGGTGCCTGTTCTCCAAAAAGAGCTGCAGGGTGAAAATACCCAATTTAAAAGATTGCCTCTGTGTAATTGCTGAGATCTCAGTTCAGGGTTTTTACACCATTTTCTTTGCAGGGAATTACAACTGGAGGTTGGATATGAATAACTGAATATGCAGGCTCGCAATTAGAGTTCCAGCTTTATCTGAATACACAAGAGGAAAGTTGTATTATGGCTCTGACGACGTTTTCTGAATCCTCCGACAGAATTAGCATCTCTCACAGTGAGTTTAGCCGAGCTAGCGTCTGTCTCACTCAACACAAAACTGTGAAACACTGAAACATCACGAAATATAAGAGGTTGGGTCGTGATGTCGTTTTGCTTGACGTCATATTTTCAGTTTAATAGTTGTCATTTGCTGAAAGTGCTTCATGTCGCGGAGCAGATTGTGAAACTCTTGTGAGAACACTCGATGGAGAAGGAGCCTCTGTTGTGAAGTAACTTAATGTCAGAAACTCTGCTGCCAGGATTTACACTGAATGACAATTAGCAGCATCTGTCTGAAAACGAGCTCTTTGATACGAGGTTTGAAAGTTGAACCGTGCAGACTGACGATGCTTCAAAGAGGCCGACCGCGTCGTTTACCGCTCGGAACAAACAAATGAATTCAACGTGCGGAGGGAAACCGTCTGGAAAAGTCCCGACAACACAAACACGACAGACTGCGGCGACAAACAGAGGGAAAGGTCATGAAGTTGAACGTACAAGTGAAGTACACAGGGTGGAAACTTAATATTGTGTCTGTGATTTGTCTTTTGTACGAAGTGTGTGATGTTATATTATAGTTTTCATCGTTAACTTACTGTTAAGTGTCTGTATTTGTCCCCCGTCCGTTGTAACCCTGCCTCTATGACCCCCTCCCTGTTTCCGTAGGTATGGTGTCGGTGCTGGACCTGATGCAGGGCGGCTTCCCCTCCAGAGCTCCGTTCCACGAGCTCTACAACATGTACCAGAAGTACATGCCTCCCAAGCTCACCCGCCTCGACCCACGCCTCTTCTGCAAGGTCAGTGCGTTGAGCAGGCGCCTCTGATCCAGTCCTTCTATTCTCATGTCTCATTGTCCGTCTTATGGACGTCCTGTGTGTTTGTGTTGCAGGCTTTGTTCAAAGCTCTGGGACTGAATGAGAACGACTACAAGTTCGGCCTGACCAGAGTGTTTTTCCGGCCCGGGAAGGTGAGACCTTTTGAAAAGCTGCTTTACTCCCTGAGTGACCTGCTCTCACACATTATGAATTGTTCTCCTAGAGAAAGAGGAGGAAGCATATTAGTCATTTTGGCTGCTGAGGTGAGTTGAGGTTTATTTTAACGAACTAACTGCAACAGATGGAGTTTTATTTCTCCACCAGATGAATAATTCATCACATTTGGGTTCGACACAGTTTCCAGGACGAGTCTGCGTAGAACAAACTGTACATCAGATCCTGTAGATTTATCTCTGAGGGATGAATACATATTTGCATCTGTGGTTAAACTCTGAGTCTTTAATTCACTGATCTGAAGTCTGCCGTCTAAAGGCATCACATGGTACAAGGTAGATCATCTGTCCGACAGGAAAGCACGTTTTAGACAGACGGATCTGTCTCCCGCTGGTCGGCACCAACACGACAGCTCTGCTGCTCACAGAACACGTTTGTCAGATATCAAACCTGAAAAACTGACAATCACGAGCTGGGAAAATAAAAACGTGAACTCCTCAGTGTCCATCATTAATAAGGCAGCAGCAGCAGACGGGAGGTTCAGGAGTCAGAGGTTTCAGGAGGACGTGATCACAACACGTCACAGTGCAACTTTAAATCAAGTTTACTTGGTGTTAGAGAGAAGTCGGCAGCGCTGACACGATCCTGGACTCATAAAAGATGCACGAATGAAGAAGTGAATTCACTGTAGCTGAAATAAAGATGTACCCTCATGCTCCTGGACACGTTCAGTGAAAATATGAAAATGAGGATTTAAAAGACTCATTTAACTCAGAAACCAAGGATCAAGTGTTTTATTCAAATGTTCATTCATTCTCTTTATTTTGAAGTTCCGAAGATTTTAAAACATATTGTTTGTTAATTAGTTTTCAAGGCAAATCGTTTTCACTTGATAATTATTAATGATAAATTATGACTTTCGAAAATGAATCTCAAGTCTGCTTCATAAAGCTACTCACTGTATTTCTTAACAAACTAAACAAGCGTTGTCATCTTGGTCCAGTTTGCAGAGTTCGACCAGATCATGAAGTCGGACCCGGACCACCTGGCCGAGCTGGTGAAGAAGGTCAACACGTGGCTCATCCACAGCCGGTGGAAGAAGGTCCAGTGGTGCGCTCTGTCCGTCATCAAACGTAAGCAGCACCTGTTCGGTCCTCACAGAAACAACCGTAGACGTAAACCCTGCGGAGTGAATTCAGAATCACTTTCAGGAGCTGCTGCGTCTCAACCAGCAGGTTGGTGGATGCTCTGCCGCAGGATCCACTTTTGTCTGGAAAGGGAAAAAGTTGCTGGAGTTCAACGAGCTCATGGGAAACAGTGGAAAGTTTTCAGGGCTGCTGCTGTGCGTTGCCTCAGCTTTGTTTATTCCTGCTTCTACTTTCAACACAGGACACTTACAACCAGAGCCAGCCCAGCGATAACCGCCTGTCAGACAGGAAGACGTTGGTGTTTAATAGTTAAATAGACGTCGTAACAGAAATCGTAAACCTGGCTGCAGTCATTCTCCTCACACTGACACAGTTGTTTGCTTTTCCTCCGTCTATCGCAGCCGTTTACTTCCTCTACATTTTCTGCTCATCGCTCTGGGTTTTGTCCAGGCAGACATTTTCCCGGGACTCCGACCGTGCAAACAAACACACAGATCAGTATGCACGGTTGGCCTCGCGAAAAATACCCAGGAGTCCTTGTGGACGGAGCAGAGAGCAACAGCAAAACAAACCATGGGCGGTGCATGTGCAGCAGAGACGGACTGATGTTAATAATGTGAGGGCGAGCTCCTGGAGGGGAGGAGGTGCTGTCTGTCTGAGGTTTATCACTGACCAGAGTCCACGCCAGTCGCTGCAGCCTCACATCAGACCTCCTCTCTCCGTCTGACGCCGTCTGCTTCAATAAGTTCTGCCTCTGGTGCAGGTGAGAGGAAGTTCCCATGCACCTGAGAGTCGTGGTGTTTTACTGTATTGACTCTCAGACGCTGGGAAACAGAGTGTTGACTGTAAACAAAGACGGACGACACGTCTCCACGTCCTCCGGCTGCACAGAGACGAAGCTTAAATATCCATCTTGTGCTTTTGAGCTCACTGGACCGAGTGTTAGTCTCATCTCATCTCAGACGTCGTCTCTGCTCAGCCTCTGTGTGGTCGTCCACACACTCTGTGAATAAAGTGAATTGTTCTCAGGGTTTAAATCCTGTCGCGTCGGCAGACTTTCTTTTTTTCCTTTGTGAAGAAAACGCTTCGGTTGTGATTGGATTTCGTCTCTCGGGCCTCGATGCCGCTTCTGTCCTGCACATGAAGCGAGTCTGAAGTGGAGTGAGAGAGCTGGAGAGGGAGGGAGCAGCCGAGCTGGAGAGATGAAGGGTGAAAGATAAATAGAGACACAGATCGATAACTTCACTGCTCGCTGCCAAATTCATTTCATCTTGTTGTGACCTCAGAATATTTCACGTCTGCACAGATTCGGCTCCGAGACTTGAACGTGTTGCACTGATCGGTTCGACCGAGCAGGATGATACAGAAACTCTTCACGCCCTGGTGGTTGGAAACGATAATGCGCTTTGGCAGCTCTGCGCTTGTGTCCACTTCCTGCCAAAAACCGCTCATTGATCAATGACCAGAACAAGCAGAGGGAGAGAAGTGAGGAGACGCAGGAAAATGATCAAACTGACTCAATATTATTGAAATATACTCGATTGGATTTGAGAATCAGTTGCTGACGACACGCAGACGCTGACACGTCTCGTTTTTCAATATGTATTAAACTCAGTCCTCAAGTCAAACAAGTTCACCGCTGAACCTCCTCAGGAACGAGATTCTCCTGTTTCTCTGTCGTCTCATGAATGAATTCTTCTCTTCTCCCTCTGACGTCATGAACCAACGTTATTGAGTCGTCTTCTTTTCTTTTCTGTCGTTCACAGTGAAAAACAAGATCTTGTATCGGACCGGCGCCTGTATCCAGATGCAGAAGACCGTCCGGATGTGGCTCTGCAGGAAGAAGCACAAGCCAAGGTGTGTTCCTCCTCCCTTCTTTCCTCCTATCCATCCATTTTTCATCCTCCCTCCCATCCTTCTCATCTCCACTTCGTCCTCTCCTCCTCTTCTTTCTCATGTCTCATCTCTGTCCTCCATTCGTGTGTCTCCCTTGCTTCCACAGCTCCTCCTCTCTTCTTCTTTCTTCCACTTACCCACTCTTCTTCTCCACTCGTGTCCTTCTTCACTCTCAGATTTTTCACACTCAACTCCCATGACTTGTCATCATCCATCCTTTCTCCCTCCATCGCTTCCTTTCCTCTCTCCTCTGCTGTCATTATCACTTCTCCTCACCTTCTCTCTCTTTTATTCTTCCTCGTCCTCATCTGTCCCCTCTTCGTCTTCTTCTTCATTATCTGCCACTTTCACAGCTCACCGGCGTCAGTCTGCCTGGTGCGCACGTACACACACACACACACACACACACACACACACACACACACACCTCCAATATGTGATGACAAACAGCAGAGGCCTTGGGGGGGGGGCAGGTGTGAGAGACGATGCAGGTGGAGAAGAGGAGTCTCTCTCTCTCTCTCTCTCTCTCTGTCGGGGGCTTCAGTCGGATCTGTCTCCCACTGGTCGACACCAACAGGCTGCGTGATGTGTGTGTGTGAGCTGCTGATGAGGGGGGGAGGGTAAACAGAACATGAAGTGATGCTGAGGTCGTTACAGAACAGATGTCTCCTGTTTAAATAAACATTCACAAGATTTACAGACGAGGACAGAGACAGAGAGACAGATGGAGAGACAGACAAACCTGTGCTGTTTCATGATGTGTTGTGCGTCTGTGTTTCAGGATCGACGGGTTAGTGAAGGTGCGTAACCTGAAGAAGAGGATGGGGCGCTTCAACGAGGTGGTGGCCGGGCTGAAGGAGGGCAAACAGGAGATGAGCAAACAGATCCAGGACCTGGATTCCGCCATCGACACCCTGATGGTCAAAATCAAGGTGGGTGAGACGGATGGTTCGATTGACGACACGCTGAATCTCTGAATTCAGCCTGAAAGTGTTTGTGACGTCTGAGCTCTTCCTCGTCGTTCGGTGAAATCCTTTGGTTCTGCTGGAAATAGGAAATCGGGATATCCAGGGTTTCGTCTGAAGTACCACCCGCTCTCAGGAAGTGATTGAAAGCATGAAATCACATTCTGCTGCGATTTGAGGGGGCACCTCAAGTCTCCGGTTCATAAACCTAAAATAAACCTGATATAAACCTGGATAAACAAAGATCATCAGAGATATTTCCCCAGAATGACGAGTTCAAAAAGTTTCCCTGCCGTTAATTCTGCCCCGCTGTCCTCCGTGTTATCGTCCTCGTGAATGTCAAGAAGCTTCTTTTTGTTTAATTTTCCCTCGGAGAGTCGGTCTGAGTCTGACGGGTGCTCGCCGAACAAAAGGTCAGGGTAAGAAAGACAGACGCTGATGGAGGGAACCCGAGTGTGTTGTGCTCACATCAGTCAGAGGAAGAAGTTACTGTGACGGCAGACGAGACGTTAACACGCGTCCGTCTTCAGGTTTTACACCAAGTCAGCCGTCAAACGGTGGAACACAGGGTGACGGTGAACTGAGAGAATTCTGATCCTCTCTGAGGAGTTCATCTCAGTGCAGTCTGGATTTAAAGAGCAAACACAGAAAGTCAAGAAGAAGAATCTAAGATTTTGTCACTCAGGTGTTCCCATGCAGAGGAACCAGCCAGATGTTCTACTGGACCAAGACAGAACCTCGTTACTGTGACAGTTGAGTCTGTTTCCTGTTGAAACATCGTTATTCTGATTCTGACTTTGTTTCCGTCAGTGCACCATCATGTCCCGAATCGACATCGACCACGAGTTCCAGGCCCTGGTGACCCGGTCGGAGCAGCTGCTGACGGCCATGCAGAACAAGAAGAAGGAGGAGGAGGAGAGGGAGCGGCTGCAACGCATCCAGGAGGAGATGGAGAGAGAGAAGAAGAGGAGGGATGAGGACGAGCAGCGCCGCAAGCAGGAGGAGGAGGACAGGCGACTGTAAGTGGGAAAATGCATTTGTTCATTTTCAGGGTTTTTTTTCGCCGTCACGTACAAAACTAAAAATTAAGAGGCACTTGTCAAAGTTGGCGTTTTTTGACCTGGTAAAATCCTCTGAGTGAAAACTGCTGCGGTCGACAAACACTCAGCGTCCACACAGGTTTAAAGGGTCCGACAGGGATTTACATAATGACACAGCTGCTTCAAAAGGATTTCTTTTTATAGAAGCTGCAGAGTGTCATCAGGAGGTTCTTCTCTTTCCGTGCTGCGCCGTGATTTACAACGAGTACAGATTCATCGCAGCTTGTTTATCGTCGTCGACCCAGAGTCACGAGAAGTTTAAAGCAGCACTGTGTAACTTTACCTGGGAAAAAACAATTAAAGGCTGGATATTACCCATGATCCTCTGCTCCCTGAACCAGAGGAGCCGCTTCTGTAACAAATCCACCGAACTGTTCAGAGTTCTTCATGTTTTAAAGTTTCCTGCTGAACATTGGAGATAAACTCTGGTTGTTAATAACTGTGTGAGTGTGGATTCACTCTCGGCTGTGAAGAGAAGTGCATCAAGGACAGAGCTTTGAGGAACACCTCTCCTACACTTCAGGACGTCTTTAAACCATTACAAGCTGCTGTATGTTTGAAAACCTTGGTACTGAGGACAGATTTGGTTGTAAATAAGTCTGCTGCCTTGACTCTTGTCATAATTTCTTCAGTAAAAATTGAAATTTAAACGGGAACATTGAAGAATTTGAGGCAGCTACGTTTCCACATGCAGAGAAATCATGTGTCTGTCTCATTCTTTGTGTGTCGTCCTCCGTTTCACTCAGAAAAACTCATTTTCATGTTCTTCCCACGGGTTCGACCTCCGCAGTCCTCCCCTCCTTCGGCGTGAGGAGGAGGACTGATGGGGGCCGTCGTGTTCGTCACAAACCACTACCCGCTGATATAAGACGTTAGAGACAGCGGCCCAAATGTAATGGCCCACGCTCACTTCACTGTCATGTTATAAACTCCCACGATTCACCTGAAGGTCGCAGGCTGAAGGTCGAGGAAGCATCAGAAAGACTTCACGAAGTCACTGACCCTGTAATATCCCCATTTATAGGATTTCCCCATTTCCTCACAGACGCAGCTTTAATCCGAACATTATTTAAGGATGAGTTCTGTCCTCCCCGTCCGTGGAACGTCTCCCTGCAGACGCTTTAGATTCTGCAGAGAACTCAGTGTTCTTCTGTCTTCTGGACGATGGGCTGATGTTTCTGCTCAGAGCAGTGTGCAGCAGCAGAACCTCCTCAGTGAGCCGAGACGCTCAGACACGAATAAAAACAAATACAAATAAAAACATGAGAAATAAAACAGATATATGTTCTACTTTTAGTTTGTTGCCTCATAATTTAAAAGCAACTTAAAGAAAACTGAAGTGTACGAAACGAATGAAAAGCATTTTTAAATTTAAGTTGATAAAAGTATTTGGTGCATTAATGTTCCTCCGGGTTTCTTGAAATAGAGTCCAGTGAAATAAATGTGAATAATGATGCAGAAGTGCTGAGTCGTGCAGTTGAGGAAAGACATCAGTATCAGTATATTCAGCTCACTCACTGTATTTCTCTCTCTGCCTCTTTCTCTCTGATCTTTGTCTTTTTTATTTATTCTCCTCCACTGCTCCTTTATACGTCTCCATTTCCTCTGTCTTTGTCCCCATCTATTCCATTCACCCATTCTCTTCTTCCTCTCATTCATCACCTTGTCTATTTTTTTTTTTTTATCTCTGTCGTGCTGCCCTCCTCTCTGACTCCTCCTCTCTCTCTCTCCTCTTCCTCCCATCAGGAAAGCAGAGATGGAGCTGAAGAGGAAGCAGGAAGAGGAGGAGAGGAAGAGGAGGGAGGAGGAGGAGAGGAAGATTCAGGTGGGTGTCGGCTCTGTGGCTCCTCTGTTGTCAAGAAACACAACAAACTGGAAACTACAGATGATTTCATCGTCTGAAAGTGAATCCAAACAATAAGTGAGAATTCTGTGTTCGTCTAAATCTCTGAAAACTACGAGGAGAATCGTCTTGTGACAGAGGTCAGGGGCGAAGAATGGATCTTTATTGAGACAGTTTCTAACTAAAACATTTCTTTTAATCATGAACTTGATCCGTCGTCTCCATGTATCCGAGCTCGGGTCGCCTAGGTAACCGAACCAGATGTGGTCCCCCGGCTCTTCCTGGGGGACCTGAGGCGTTCTGTAGTCTCTCCAGCGAGGTCCAATCAAGTGGGAGAATAAAAATCTTTTCTATCTTCTGATCCCTCAACCCAGAGATGGAAAAACCGGGTCGGACAGAGATGCAGTAGACAGAAGATGCAGTAGTGAGAAAAGTACTTTGAATTAACGGCAGAAGATATAATATTAAACAAAGGGTGATGAAGAGTTTCAGTCGGGTTGTAAAAGTGTTCGGAGCAGGTTTGATAAAACGCTGTAACACGTCATTTAGTTTTTTGTCCGTCTGCGTTATGAACTCTGCTGAAATCATCATCTTCTGACTCGACACATTTAGAAACACCGAAGCTCAAACAGCTCGCCGCATGGATCCATTACCGCCTCAATTTCTCATGACGGGACGGAGATCAGTAATTTAATCTAAATGAATAATAACGTTACACAAAACAAAGTGCAGAGGGTTTGATTCATCACTGCATTAAAGACTCTGGGGCTTCAGCACAATCCGATCATTTGTCTGCACAGGAAAGATTCTCAGATTCTTATTGAAACAGAAGATCAGTGGACGTCAGAGCAGGTTCAAGACGTCAAAGAGCTCAAATCAACCTGTGAATGTTTCTGGTGATGACAGACAAACAGTCTCCTGTCAGAAGAAGAAGCTCCGTGCGTTTGTTTTCAGATAAACTCACACTCGTCCTCAGAAAACAAATAAATCAAGTCGAAGAAGCCGGGAGTCCGACACGCAGGAAGATTTGAGGCGAGCGGCATCGAGTTTTATTTAGATCCTCTGAAGCTTCTGAGACGAACATGGTCTGCAGATGGTGATGAGACGTTTGTCTCTGGAACTAATTCAGTTCTCCTGTGAGTCAATGACGTATTTGTGAAGACAAAAGACGCACAGATGAACTCAGACTCTCTGGACTGAACATATATCAATTAGAACTTTTTTCATTCTTTAACTAGCGACGCTCAGAAATCTCTGTGAAACCGCAGAACACTGCCGGGAAGAAGATCTGCCCCTTTAAGAACATGTGCATTAATGTAATAAGACGTAAAACTTCTGTAAACTAAAGGCTGTTGCATCAGTGTGTGTGGGAGGGAGAGAGAGACAGAGAGACAAACAGAGAGAGAGAGAGAGAGAGAGCAGGTTTTACAGTTTTACAGGTCAGGAGGTTTTATCATCCAGTGTCTCTTCGTCCATCTGTCGCTGCTGCAGCTGCTTCCCCCGGTTCCTCCGGTTCCCCGGGCGTCGACCCGGACCCGAATCAAGTGCAGATTTTAGCAGCGAGCAGCGAGTGCACAGATCAAAGCTGCTGGCTCGGGGCCCGGAGCCCCAGGCCGGGTTACCCACAAATAAATCTCCCACACTCCCCTCGGCTCAGCGTTGTTGGGCTTCTCGTCACGTCCGCCTCCTCTAAATATTCATGCCTCCCCTGCAGACTCACGCTCAGGAGTCCAGGAGCTGACGACGGTCGCTCTGTGTATTTATCTCTTCATCCATAAATTCACTGCCACAAAATATGTGTCTGTGACTTTTACTGCCGTTCAATTAGTGTCAGTGTAAAACCCGAGCTGACGTTCAGCTGTAACTTCACACGGAACGTCTTTGTCAGATGTTAGTGCTGCAAACATGATTCTGCAGATCCATCATGATGATTGGTGACGAGCTCTGATCGTAGAACTGATCTCAGTCTGACCTCAGATCAGTTTCTGCTGCACGTTCTTCATTTAAATGAGTCAGTGACAGTTTGACGGCTCGTTCTGCCATCAAGACTCCTCCCCTTCCTCTTCTTGAGTGTCATCAAAATCTTCCTCGCTTTAAAGGTTCTGTGGCAACTTCAGTCGTCATAGAAACTCAAAAGGTTTAGTTTGTTTAGTTTGAGCGACTGTAAAAAACATGGCCGCCTCTGTAGAGATGATTTAAATATAAAGTATTTCAATATAAAGTATTTAA